GAAAATAACTATGGTCCGTTTCTTTTCTTACCAGGACCTATCTATGGGCAAAATACAAGCGAAATGAATTTTTCGACTTGTGCCATTGATAGGCGATTTAGGTCGATTTTTATAGGCATCCACTCATAAGTATAAACAAGAGATTATCAAGATAAGAGAGTGAATCCCCCATATAGGTCCTCTAGATCTAACTAAGGTCATCCCTCTTTATTTCTTTTTGGACATGGTACCCAGTTCTTCCGAGGATGCTACTCGCGCGATGCGTGGACAGCCCAAGCGACATTCTCGAAACTACCCGAGACGAAATGGCGCGAACGCCATTTTATATCGTTTGATTTCGTTTCATAGCAGAGATGTTTTCTGCACTCTCAGCCGTCTTTTTGTTCGACCGGGCTTTCGTTTGTTTTGTGTTCGTTTGGCTGTTCAGTATTTGGCTGTTAATTCGGTTTTAGGGAGTTTAATTATGCAAACTTAAACGGCAACGGCAACTAATACAATGGCTGTGTAAGCGAGCGTTTTACTATATAGACACGAGTGTTTTACTGGAAAATACACCACTCGTAAAATTCATAGGAAACCACATCCGGGACTCGAGTGGCGTATTTTCCATATCCTCATTAGTGAAGATATCGATGATTTCACTGATATCAAGTTTGTCTCTTAAATTGTACTTAAATTCGTTGGTGTATCATCGAAACATCTTCGGGTCTTCCTCGAAAGTCTTCGGCAATCTTCGGTAATCTTCGGAAATCTTCGGTAATCTTCGAAAATTTTCGGAAAACGTTTGGCAACGTTCGTGTGACCTTCGGACAAGTTTTGGAGAATCTTCGGAAATCTTCGGAAAGTGGTCGGAAATCTTCGTATAATCGTCAAAAACGCTGTCATCAGTATGTCTATATAACGAAAAGAACATTACATGTTAGCTCAAAGATATGAACTTTATGTTCTCGTGGCAAGAACTCACTCGTTCGCTGCGCTCACTCGTGAGATATTGTTCTTGCCACTTGAACATAAAATTCATATCCTCTCACCACCGTGTTATATCCTCTATATAATTCTTTGTTCATTTCTTTGCCGTTGTTTACAAAAGGTCATAAAACAAGAACGTGAAATAGCCACATTCTTCATATACGACGGCCAATTTTCAAAATATCTTTTTCGAATTTTGATGCTGTCTCACATATTCTGTTTAGGATAGTTCTGACAGCATAGACAAACTGAATGAATCTAAATTCTTGCGAGATTCGTAGGTTGAATATTAAGTCGTTTTTTAATCGAATTTGCCTTTGGCGTTGTTGCCGTTTCTGCTTGAACTGCTTTTGCTACTTGGGCAGCGAGCGTCTTCAACCATCTGTTTGTTCGGTTGCTAAGCTTCTGTTTGCTTTGCACTCGTTTGTCTACTCATTTCTCTGCCGTTCATTCAGTTGTTATTGTTTGTGTAGGGGACATCCGTTCTTATTTAAACTCCTATTAAAACATACCGAGAGCCGAAGCTCCTTTGCTTGTAATCAACATATCAAAGAAGACATCCCCACAGCATTGGAGGTTTTTCTTTGCTTCGAAACGAAACGAAACGAAACATAAACAAATCCTCCACGAAAACATCCACGCAACACGCGAGTAAAATCAGCGGAAGAATTGGGTACAATGTCTAAAAGTAACTTAAGAGGGATTACCTTAGTTAGGGGTCCTATATGGGGGATTCACTCTCTTACCTTGATAATCTCTTGGTATAAATCTACTAGTGTTCTACACGAATGCCGTTCCCTTAATGGCTATACTACTCGCTACTTTGTTGTAGATAGTAATTAGCCTTGAAGTGTGCCGTTGTCAAAAAACGGCGGCCGCTTCTTGGTGTTTTCGAGGTCGGTTGGTGAAGTCCTCTTCACCAACTGACCTCGAAAGGAAAACAAAAATGAAAAAAGATAAATTTTAAGATTTTAGATAAAGTTTTCAACGACTAGTAGACTTGTACTAAGCCAATTAGATTATTCCCTCTCGATTTCTATACGTACGTGGTAGTTAACTCAAGCTGCCCCCTCGTTAACGATCACGTGATAGAAATCTCAAGCTCATATTCTAATTGTTAAAAGGGCCATTGTCACAATAAAGCGCATGTGCGGTCTTGATTGACACCGGTTTTTAACCAACAGAAATCGTAATATCACGCGCGCCTCCACGAATACGTCGTGGGTCAGCTTGAAGTTTCACGTCCCTTTAGAAAATCTCTTTATCCGCCGGGTTTTGACCTTTTGTGTGTAAAGAACATTCATCACGTTTATGTTGTGTGAAGGCCGTGTCCATTGAATACAAGCCCATACACTTAACTTTCTTCCAACTTGCATGCACATCTGCAGCTATATAAAGTTTCCAATCCTCCCATCTTTATTTTCGTTTTTTTTTTCTTCCTTTCTTCGAAACAAGACGACCACGGGGTGAAAGTAGCTTTCTAGCCACTTCGAAAACCCCGTCTCGAGGACATCATATTTAACAAAGGTATTCAGCTTAAAACACAAAAAAAGCTAAAACATTACTATTTTTACACGCCTCACAAAGTCGATGGAGAAGAATTTTTGTCATAAATATCAACTTTAGCGCGGTTCCGAACGGAAAGTACGAAGTCAGCAAGCTTCACTAAATCATAATAATAGGCGAACGCCATAAAAACTTTCCCTTACTCTCTAGAATATTCAAAGGACCAAAACACAATAGGTACCAAAGAAATCTCTGGGGAGTGGGAAAGAGGCGATTTCTTAGTATTTTCAAAGGGCCACTTGCCTCACCTACTCTGCCAGGGAGTTCATATACACCCCCAGCTACCCCTACACGAAGTTAACAGTGAAAAAGTTAAAAAAGAGAAGTTTAACAGATTTAATTTCTGTTACGGCGTTTTAGTGTGTAGTCATATTGTGTCCAGCTGACGAAAATATTGATATCTGAAGACTACGTTTTCGATCAGAATCTAGCATTTCACTTACTTGAAGGACCTATCCCAATATTCTAACCTCAATTGACCTCCGTCCTACGGACTTCGCGCTAAAAACTATTCCGTTGGATAAGAAATCAAATTGCGGCACATGCGCAGAAGAGAGTCAAATACCCTTTAACTAACAACTTTATAAAAGGAAATCGCAGACACAGACAAAGACATAACTGTGATCTATTTAATCAATATTTTTCGTTTGCAGGTTTCCAGGAAAACTGGTCGCGCTTTACAAGAAATCTTCCAACATATCTCAAGGCCATGAAAGCAAATAGGTATACCATTTAAAATATCTTTCGCAGCATTTCGCTTTTTGGAATGGTCCACCTTGTCTCCCGCTAGACTTCGTATACGTCTGGGTTTTCGGCGTTATTCTCGTCAGAGAAGTCGACTGAAATTGTGGAGTACTTTTTAATCTTGCCGAGCGAAACCAAGATTGATTAACAAGAAACTTTTCAACGCGTTACCAGCCAAGTTGGGTACAGTACGCCTCAGCTGCTTCGTGAATTGTCCAAACCTAATACAAGACAAAAATGATCAATGAAACATCGCGTCAAACAAACCAAACAACTGCTCGTCTGATGGAGATAAACGTCAAGGGGATAGCTCAACTGGTTCCTATTGCATTAGTCGTTCTTGTTGTAAACATGTTAGTTTTCTTCGTTTTTCTCAAAACGAAAAAGCTAAGAACGCCAGCAAACTACGTTCTTTTTAGTTTGGCTGTTAACGACTTCATGACTGGAGCACTGAATATTCCTCTGTTTATCTTTGTGTTTTTCACTCCCATCATTTCATCAAACACAGTGCGCTTTCACCTGGGGTTTCTTTTGACGGTTGTACATACACTAACAGCAATTATATCAGTTTATCACATAGCAATCGCCACTTTGGAAAAGTACTTGTCCATTATCAGGCCAATAACTCACCGTCTCATCAACAAACCAACTGTTACAAAGGTTTTGCTAATGGTTTGGTTCATTTCCGCTGTCATTGGATTCATTCCCTTCGCATGGATTGATAAAACTAAACATCCTGAAGGAGCTAAGTACTTTGTAGGCTACATTATCTCCTGCTTTGTAGTGGTGTTTTTCTTTCCGTACATGTTTATGATATACGCCTTTGTCAAGATTTTTAGAGCCATTGCCAGTGGCGCAGGACAAAGTGGAACGAACGAAACGAAAGAAAGGTACAAAAGAAAACTTGCTCGAGAGAGGAAGAGCATTTTGCTATTTGTTACAATGGCAACTGCATTTTCAATTTGCTGGTTTCCATGGTTTTTATTGCAGTTACTCTACTCGCTTAAATTTGAACCTGAAGCTCTTGAAATGCCAGCCCATGTTTTTACTCTCGTCAGGTATATAACATCTGTCATAAATCCGCTATTGTACACTCTGCTGCGACCAGATTTTTATGCAGCGCTGAAAAACGTGTTTCTCAATGCGAATTGTGGTTTATTTCATCTAAGACGAGAAGAGAGCCAAAGAACACATATTTGCCGCAGTGATCACTTGCGTTTTACATTATCTGAACTGATCCAATCTCTTTCAAATGAGCCTGAAGAATAATCAGGAGTGGCTTTATGGAGTGGAAAAATAAACTCCGACGCACTTTCGGCCGCAGCAAACTTCCGCCGCCTGGAGCAAGGTGATCTTAGCCTTGCAGAGTACATTGACAAACCCACTATTCTGTGCGCGGAGCAGTTTGAACATCCCTCATAAGCCCGCAATCAATTACTTCGAGATGCAATATTAAAGGGACTACGCTCCAAAGAGGTCTGTCACTAGTGCACTTAAAAAGGCTCAGCGCTGACGCTGGAAGAGACAATAGAAATAGCTCAGAATCAGGATGCTGCAGCACACCAGGATGATTACATGCTATCGGAATTCAACGGTGATACACTACAAATGGACGTTCGTAATCTCCAAGGAACCAGGCAGTCAGGAGCCAAGAGGAATATGCAGCCACAAAGACTAGGTTTCAGTGATCAGTAGAGTGATCTCAAACAAGGGAATTCAAAGAGAGAAACTTGTTTTAACTTTGGAGCGAAACCGTCAAATCCCAAGGGTATTACGGTTCCTTGTGCATATCAAATGCCGTATCAGAGAGTACCACGTGCAGTCTACAGCAGCTTCCGAGTTCGTAGACTGTATACCAGATGCGTACGAGACAGTTTATTTCAACGCGCCTATTCATCACCTTAAGACCGTAATAGCATCGTTCGTGGAGCATCACACAAATAGGAACCCTTAATCGCTTTTCTCATGATAATCATGGCTAGTGGTATTGCTCGTGGGCGCATATACACGACGACAACGACGAAGTAGCTCAACTCGGCGGCCATATTCCAGCTTATAGGTTAACCGAGACATGCAGCCTTGGTTTACAGCGCACATCTTTGATATTAGTCATCCATGTTACAGTCAACTGATACTTGTCAGAACAAGGCATCCGCTGACCAGAGTCACGTGACCATATCGCGGGCGCGAGTTTAAAGGTCATTGAGGTCAAATGTTTTTGAAGTTGACCGCTGCCCAGGTACTAGTTTTTCTATTGGATCGCAGGCTCAAGGCAGGTTACTTATTATAATAAGGGCAGGGGTTGTTCGAAAACAAACAATAGACTGCAAGGCTGATACTACGTGAAAACGTTTCGAGACACCAACATGACAGGAACCGATAAAGTAGGATCGCAACAGTGGACAGCTGTTTCGCCCTTATTTTGGGGCTAGTCAGCACTGTGTAGCGAAGATATGTAACGCCAGCCCAACAGCCAACGCACATAAATTGCAAAATGACCCGTTCACTATATCAAGTTCCATACTTTGAACTCACTTGCNTTATACTTATTATTATTCATAGTTAGATATTTTTAAAATCATTGTGATTTATATTTTAATTGTTTAAGGGAGGGCCACGAGTTTATCAGTCAACGACTGTAAAGTGTTTTTACCCTCATTAAATAAAGTTACTTACTTACCTACTTACTTAACATTCAGCCGCATGGCCAGTGCCATGCTTTAAAAACGCAGCGTATCGGATCTGAAAAGACCTACGGTCCGAAAATACATAAATGAGAAACCAGAAACTGCAAGGGACCGCATACGATAAACACTGCCAACGTAGAATCTACAGGAGATCTGATCAGCCAAAAAAATGCATGAAGACAAACAATAGACTGCAAGGCTGGGCTCCTTGCGCCCCGAAACACGTGATGTTGTCCCCTGTTGCGATCCTACTTTATCGGTTCTTGTCATGTTGGTGTCTCGAAACGTTTCTATCACCGCGTAGTATCAGCCTTGCAGTCTATTGTTCGTCTTCATACATTTTTTTGGCTGATCAGATCTCTTGTAGATCCTACGTTGGCCGCGTTTATCGTATGCGGTCCCTTGCGGTTTCTGGTTGTTCGAAAACCGGGTAACGCTAACCCAGGATATTAAAAGTAAAACGAAGTATAAATTTTTCTTGTATGAAAATGATTTTCACTGACTGCTTAAGTTTTGTGTAGTTTGAGATTATTCAAACTCAGGTCAAACAATATTAACAGAAAACCTCACCGCAAAGTTAAAAAGTTCAAATCACAATTCTCGCTTATCCTGCCGGGGTTAGCTTAATCAGGCTTTCAACAGCCCGGCCCAGTAGCTCCGCTTTTACGCTTAACTAAATTTAGATACTAGTGGAGAATGTCATGCAGCCAGAACCTTACACCCGCCCTTTCTGGCTCAACCAGAATTACGCGACCATAACAGTAAGTTTTGTTTCCGGTTATGTTGAGGGTCTCGGGGAAACAAAACTCACTGTTTCCCTTGGGGCCAGTCATGAAGTGCTTATTGTTAGCGCGCGTTCTAGTCGCGTTGATGCACTTGGAAATGCTACGCGCGCGCGTGCGAGTTTTTATTCAAAGAGGAGAATTTGAACTCAATGCTCAAGTCCTTATGGGCTAGTGTTCTTAGTTGGAAGATCAGCCGCATTTCCTCGCGCTGTCTTGCAGCCGTTTCACCTTTTACCCTCAATCCTTACCACGGACACCCTCATGTCCTGGATTTTGTTGTGATCTAGAAGGTTGAATGTTGGCCAACGGGGAATCCTTGGTAACGAGGGTTCTGATTGTAACCCTCTACAGAACGTCGGTGCTCACCGAAACGGTACGCAAGCGTACGACCGGTTTCGCCCACTTACAAATTGTAACAGAGTTGGCGAGCGTTGACATAGACTACGCCGTCCGCAGTGCAATCGTGCCGTCTCTTTAGGCGAACATTCCGATTGGTGGAAGTGACCGTTTCCGTCCTTTCCGGGATGTCACATGAGCGGCACCAGGGTCTGCGGCAAAGAAATGTTCCAGCTAGTTCGGTTAGGGTAGTATCAGCGTGAGTAGAGAAAGTGCTGTAAACCAGGATGTCTGGGAGACTCGTGTCCCGCCGACAGACGCACAATGGCTTGCTGTTAAATGTGTCCTTTGTAGATGGGTCATCGCTCCGGATACGGAAGTTCTTGGAAGAATTTTCTTGACTTCCTGGTTCTTTGGGTAAGTGAGTTTGGGTAAGTGAGTTTTCTGGTTCTTTGGTAAGTGAGTTTCTCGGAGCGTTCGGCCCTGTCATGTCGTTCAGTGTTCCTGAGTGCCCTTTCACGGCTAATCCGTTTGGGTTCATTTTTGGCTGGTGGTAATGACACTTAGAGGATATCGTCTCCTCTAAACGAATAATGTCATCTCTTTAGATCTGGTCACAAAGTCATATTCTTTGAAGACGGAGAAATTGGCCGTCTGGTACGGCGTTCTTGGAGTTAGAGGATGGGACGAACTGTGATCAAGGTAGCTGTGTATATCGGTGGGTTTCTGGTGAATGGTGGATTCCCCCTTGGCGAACACTTCAACCTCCCACACCACAACAAGATCTAGGATATGAGGGTGTCCGTGTTTAGGAGGATACAAGGTGGAACGGCTGCAAGACAGCACGAGGAGATGTGACTGATCTTCCGACTAGGAACACTAGCCCCAATTGATTCAAGTTCATTGAAGTCCATCTCCTCTTTGAATAAAAACTCGCAAGCAAGCGCGTAGCATTTTCAAGTGTATCTACGCCATTAGAACGCACGTGAGCAATGACGTCTATAAAAAACGTATATTTTTTGTCAACGCTAATCACTCATCGAAGTTTCAGCCTCTAAAGTGCAGAATTTCCTTTTAAAATTTGTCTCCAAAGAAGCCCAAAATTTGACCTTTTGAACAGCCAGGCCGCGTTTTCGTGATGTCATTCCGTCCGAGAGATTTTGTCCAAATGGCCTCCGACAAGCCTTTTAACAACGACTCTGGGTTATGGCTGCTTTTGAGCCGTATTTTTCTTCGAACCAAACATGCTCCAAACGGAATGACGTCACATCAACACGGCCTGGCTGAGAGAAGTACAGTTTCAAAATGGCGGCGTCTAAAGTCTAATTTTGAGCTTCTTCCGAGACGAATTTTTGTGAGATTATGCATTATTATTACATAATGTCATATAGTCACAGGTCCGTGTTGAAGGTTTGAGGATTTTATGAAACCTGAGAATCTGTCCCCGATGAGAGTTGATAGTTAATGAAGATAGTGAAAACTCGAGACGAAATCGGATTGTCGCATTTTAGAAAGGGGCGAACAAGATGATATTTGAAATGTAAACCGCCTTTGCTTCTAGTCAAATCGCTCCTTTATAAACGGCTCAAACAGACCCAGAAACACAGGTAAATAACAGTGCATTTATTCTCCAGATGATTATGTTATTGCTGATACAGTGTCCGGGTCCTCTGTGCTTTGGGCGGGTGAGAAGATTTTCATGAACGCAAATCGAATGCGAGCTTTAAAGCTGCCTACAGGCCAAAATTTAAGTTTGTTCTTTTGTTTTTTAAGCGGTGATGCGGTGAATAAAATCCCAACTTTCGGTGTTTCGGTGACCTCAAACCCTAAAGTGTGCGATGTTTGTGTTTTTCACGCTACTTTGTTCGGTAAAATAAAGTTATTTGCGGTGTTTTGGTTTCTTGTTTGACCTTTCTCAGACCTAAATTTAGCATTCAAACTTTGCTAATCTGTGCTAATTTATGACAAGCGTGTACCATTGTTTTTAACAAAATAGAGACCAACACTGTCTAGTAAAACTTCAATATGCTTCACCTGCCAATCCAAAGCTGTTTTCATTAATACTTAACTTGACAAGTAACTTTACCACTGCCACGATGCACCCGGGCGTGGACCGAATTTATTATATTGACAGCGTAGCTTTTTTAGCTGATTGTGATGTGTTCATTTCGTGGAAAACTGTTAACGCCGCTGGAGACAATAGAAAGTTAACCAAGGTAAGAGTTCGATTTACCCTGTGATCAACCATGATTTAGGTCGGTAACCAAGGTTGAGATGACAGATATGGCAAGTCCAATTGAGGTCGCATGGTATCTCGCACCCCGTCGTTTTCGACAACGTTTGTTTTATTCGGACATTATATTCGAACGTACGCCTCGATAGTCTGAAGTTCTCTTTCTCCCATTTCTCAACGAAATTTCCGTGCAAAAAGATTACAAACCAAAATTTGTTAGCGAGTCATTAAAAGCGCTTGCTCTCTCAGCGATTTCCGAAAGTTGCGCGGTATTGGAATTTGAATCGCCTGGTTTGCGGGTTAAATGAATGGAAAGAGAAGTCACATTTAGCTAGAGAATGTTGGTCTGTAGACAAACACCTAGAAAGAATGTTCAGCTAGTTAATCGGCTTACAGCTTAGTGAATAACAGTTTAATTATTTTACATGAATTTAAATGATTTTGTCGTTCGGGTCCCCTGTGGTCTGAGTTCATTGACAGTAAACTAAAAATAATAGGTCCGCACTGCGTACTTGTGTGCGTAGCGTCCTTTTTGCTTGTTTGAATTTTACGGGTTGATGAAATTAAACTGGGATGCTTATTGGAAACGGGCGTCTTTATCGGGATAGGGTGCTGTTCCCTTTCTTTTTCGCATTTTTTTACTTCCCGATCCCTACCCCTTCCCCGTTTACGCCTGCAACGCTGTTTTTGTGTTCAGACAATAGCTCGTCTGCTTACGTGAGACCGTTAGCACCGCTATTACGTCACTCTGTACCGTTGTCGCAGTGTAGCGCCTTTTTTTGATCTTGAAAAAGCAACAGTAGGTGTCTGTTAAACCTGTTCAAGTGTATTTCTAACAACGAAAGTACAATGCAAGTGCAATGGAATTGCCGCAAAAATAAACAAATCCCTCTCTTTTTGCCTTTGGAGGATGTAGTCAAGAGAAAATATGAAATTGAAAAGCTTCTAGCCTCTCAAAACATCTTAAGCTTAAAACGTCTTCAGGCAAAATGGAACCTTGCTTTGAATATCAAACAATTTTTTTTTGTAAAGGAGTAAGGGCTCCTTCCTTTTTATGTAAATTTATATGTATATTGATGATAATTTAATACCTGTATTGTAATTTTATATAAAGTATCTTGTTAACACAAAAAGTAATTGTGTAATTAGAGTACAACTAGAGTAAGATTTGTATTATCAGTTGTGTAGACAAAGTATCTGTAGTATTTGTAGTGTGTAATCGTAGTGTAAGTTGTAATCGTAGTATAAGTAACGGTTGTTTTGTAAGCAATGTCAGTAGTGGCGTAAATGATATTAGTATTGTAAGTAATGGAAGTATTGTAGGTA